GATTTTTTTTTTTGTAATGTTTTTGAAAGTCTCTTATGCTCACCATTTAATCAAAAATACAGCAAAAACAATAATATTGTGAAATGTTATTACAATTTAAAATAAGTCTTTTCTGTTTTAACATATTTAAAAATGAATTATGAATGAGTTATGAATTTTTAGCATCATTACTCCAGCATTAAGTGTTATGTTGATGACTATGCTGAGTTGATACTCAAGAAACATTATTATTATTATCAATGTTGAAAATGGATTTTTGCGAAAACCATATTCAAGATTAGATTCTTTGATGAATAGAAAGTTCAAAAGAAAGCATTTACCATGCTAAAAGTCTTTACCCTCTCCCTTTTGATCACTTTACTCTTCTCGTTGAATAAATGTATGGATTTTTTACTTACTGACCTTTGAACGGCAGTGTATCTACCTTCTCTATTTTGCATCTTTTGAAACACTTTTTTTCATAAACAATATATTATCAGCACAACAATGTGAGTGAAAAGAAATGAACATGCATTTCTTGAGCTTCATTGAAAGAATATCTGACTGTCTGTACAAAAAGTCACATGATCAATGTCATTCATTTACTTATTTGACATTAAAATATTTATAAACATATATGTATTTAAAGATATAAAAATATTTCTTTATTTTATAACGTCTTCCATTAATATTTTCAATATTTAGCCTAAAAAAAATAAAAATAAAAATAAAATTACGAACTTTCCTGGAAAATCTGAAAAGATCCCTATTATCTTGTAGCTTTAGGGCAGGTATATTCAGCACAGAGTTGTACATTTAAAATATATAGTTTAAATATATTCTCAGAGTCTGACGCTAAAGTTCTGTGCTCCAGGCAAACTGACGGGAACTGATGCTTGTGACAATAAACCACAGGCTTTAAACACACTGTGGGACATCTGAGCATCCCGGCCCTGCTGTCCCCACAAACAATTCATCTCCAGTTTTTCATAGAACAGTACTTGTGGTGCACTGCTGTTTGCTATGTAATAGATTTACAAAAAGTCCCCGTCGCCCAAGAGCACACCACAGAATTACAGTGTATAATGATGAGAAAAGCTCAGCGTTCAGCACCACACAGACCATTAGCCCCTTCACAATGTGACAGGAACTCCTACAGCGGTCACATTAACATGGACCCTACTGAAATGAATGAGGTTTAACAACAGCAGATATTCTGACTCCTGTTCTGTTGATTAAAAAGTATTTCATGTTGAGTAAAATGCTGAGGATAAACTACAGGAGCATTCTGTAGACAATGCATGATGGTGAATGCTTGAGCATTGATTTCCCTGTAGATGTTTTTCACAAGTGCTGTGCAGATTTTGAGTAGAAATCTCTAGTAATGTCTTAAAATTAACCTTAAAGTCCCCATGAAATCAAAATGAACGTTTTTTTGGGTGTTAATATCAATATGTTAGTCTTAAGGTTATCTATAAGGCAGTGTGCTCCAAAACAGTGACAAAATTCGCATTTAGAAGATATAAGCATTCAAAGCTTGCAGCTCGTCACTTCCGCCAAAACGGCTCAACGATTTTTTGTACGTCACATCGTACTTCAGCTTCTCATCAAACTTTCTGTCCAATCAAATGCTCTCCGAATCCGAAGCGCCCGCCCCCTACACTATAAAATAGACACTGAAGCCGCAGCTGAAATCGGTCACTTGTCCACAGAATTAGAATTTTCTGTACAGTGAATGGCACGTAGTGCACTATATAGGGGACAGGGAACGATTCAAACAGTGTAAATATGCTTTCCATTGAGGAAAAAAAGAAGTCTGGTTTCGCGCTGTGTCATGCTAACCACCGCACCGCACACACACTCTGCTCCGGTCCAGAGACACGATAGCACGGAGCGGATCACATGCGCGAGGCAGCGCAGACCACAAAATGTATCAGAGCTATTTGAATTCTACACAGAATGCTATATTTTATAGCAATATAGATGAGATTGTGGCTGGCATACCCTGTCAAATGCGGCTTTACGGAGCTCAACGGCTCTAGCCCAAACTGTGATATAAACGAATGCTATTGGCTATTTTAAAAAGGGGTGGGGCTGCTTGATATGTCCCGCCCTGTCTTCCTGTTTCAGTTAAAACGACGTCAACACAGAGTAACGCTGCGTGTTTCTAAGCATTTCAGGGAAATTTTTAAGAATGATAAAATTAGCCAAATATTTAGACAAACACTATGAATGCAGATATCTGTACATGCTTATCAGTATGAATATTTGATATATAATTTAGTTAATAATATAATAATAAATAAAAGAATTAACCCACAAATTTTCAAACAATTTAGATAATACAGAAATATTAGCTTTCAAATCAGCAATAATTATTATTACTAATAGTTTTTATTTTCATAATATTACTTTGATGTCTGCTTGTTTTTAAGAGGGTTATATTTATAAGAGGGTATATTATATTGTATTGTAATATATATATATATATATATATATATAT